ATGTTCTAACTTTCGAACCAACAACTTATTTCACTCTCCTGGAGTCACCTTCTGCATACATATATATGAGTTTATTAACTATTCACTTAATACCTTAACCGTTTCTTGTATAAGCCCATGTGTGCTTTTTATAATTATTCTATTCGTTATCTGTCATTAGCTTCCTTTTATTGATCTGAAGTTTGATAAAATTGTTCAGGTCGAAAAGCCTTTGGCTACGCTTCACTTTTTACAGATAAATGACTGAGAAAATTTTGTAACTCAACTCGTATTTAGCTCTTATTATCATCGTTTTCCAACAAGGCTCATTTATATATAACATACATAGTTAAGGAGAAGATTTATAGTTCATAGATCATTCATTCTCAATCATAATCGAATCAATATGTTGACCAATGTGTGTACTAATCAATTGATTCAAATAAGTGATATTTAGTTAGTATTATCTGTTATGTAATATCTCTCATCTTTAGCTCTATCTCTAATGTGAAATGTAATTTCTAGCTATGTTCATTCTTCTTAAAAATTAACAATCCTTCAGAAGTTACAATTCAGTACTGAACTAATGGTATAAATATACTGATTTGATAACTAATCAAAAGGGATAGGAAATTGTAATTTCCACATGAAAATACAAAAATGAATACTTAATTACTTACGCCTGTAACTCCTCATGGAGGAGCATAGGTTGCCCAACAGCATTCTCCATCCAAACCTGTCCTGGGCAATATTTTCCAGTTCTTTCTAGTTAACATTTATCTTTTTCTTATCTGCTTCTACTTCACTGCGTAATGTGTTCTTTGGCCTTTCTCTTTTCTGCTTACCTTCAGAATTCCAAGTTAAGGATAGCCTCTTGATGCAGTTTGGTGATTTCCGAAATGTATGTCCTATCCACTTACAACATCTTTTCCTAATTTCCTTTTCATCTGAAAGCTGGTTTGTCCTCTCTCATAAAACACTGTTTCTGATAGTATCAGGCCTGTAACCCTTCTAGAATTACTGCTAGTCCTAAGCCCGGGTAAAAGAAGAGGGTTGGGCATAGGGTTAGCGACCCATCCAGTAGAAAATGTAACTCGCTGAGAAGAACGCTAACCTGAACAAATATGGATAGATGTATACAAATCAGATAAACGTAATATTATGTAAGTTAATGACTAATTCAAGATAATTTTACGGTGAAACTATAATTTCTAGACGATTTATGAGTAATGCTAATGTGACTTTGAGAATATCTACCTACAAACTAGGACTGAATGAGGACTATAAACCAATATGAGGAATTAGATTTAAGGTTTTGATCACAAACTGATATCAGCTATAATGCCAAAATGTTATTTAGCCTAATAGATGAATGAACTTTAAGTCAAAATCCAAGACTCACTATCATATATCTGATTAGTTCATCCATAAATTATAGTTATGACACTTTTCTACATAGCTGATAAACATCTTTCTTTACCAAGTAAAATTTGAAATACAAAATGAATGACAAACATATTTAACGTAATATCAGATGACATTTATTTTTTTCATAAAATAATTTTTACTTACTTACTTACGCCTGTTACCCCTCGTGGAGGAGCATAGGCCGCCCATCAGCATTCTCAATCCAACCCTGTCCTGGGCAATCCTTTCCAGTAGTACTATTTACTCCTAAAAGTTCTTTAGATTATTTTAAAAAAAACAATGATGAGTTTAATATTTGTAAGATCATCAGTTTACTATGAACTGATGTTTAAGGGTTAGAAAGTGATTAATTGAAGGCCTTTTAAATAAATTTTCTATCCTAACTGATACTTGTATTGGAGGTATGCTAGCTAAAGGTTTTCAAACATGCCATTTATCAGCTATTTATGTAAAACAAATAATCTATATTATACTTACATTTTGTTAGCTTACATTATAGAGTGGTGTTAGCTAAAATACCGAAGCAAACTGGGACGAAACAATTGCCCAGTGTATCTTGGTTTTCCCTAGTGGTTCATGATGTTAACTATCAAAATTTTATGATCTCCATCAAAATTTCGTATTGAAAAATATCAATTAATTTGTGAAATATAATATATTCTTTTCATTTGTACCAAACATTTAAAACTAATAATAGTTTTATAAGCAAAGATGGATAGTGGCTAGCAGTGGAATCCAGAACGCGCATTCGTTCTATTTGGGACTCGTCAGCTGGATGTACCTGAATCTCAGAGTTGGTGTTCAAGCAAGTGAATATCAGGACTCAGTGGCCGAGTGGATAACGCAATGACGTTTGAAGCGAAAGGTACTAGGTTCGAGTCTCAGAGTGAACATCAACTGTGTAATGCAGGCACATCCAGCTGACGAGTCTCAAATAGGATGAAACGTGCGTCCTGGATTTCACTGCTAGCCACTATCCGTCCAAGCTTATAATGTTTCTGAATTAAGGCTATATCAAGGCAAAACTTACAGTATGCACATATGTCAATAAGAGATTGATCAATTGCAGTCCTAAACATCAATGGGAAGATTCAAACGATCAATATTAAGTAAATGTAATAATAGTTTTGTATTGGATAGATAAGAATATTACAAATTTAAAGATATCCCATATTAAAACGAAGGGGCTGTCCATTACTTCATGATACTCAATGATTGTCTGGTTTAAAACAGTCCGTTATTTAATTATAAATAATTATTGTAGGTTATTTAAATCAATTCTGAGGTATTCTCTTTCAATAACAATGACATTTATGAAGTAATAAAAAGACGGAGAAGAAGAAGATTATTAGTTCAATCATCTTACGTAAATAAATCTTAATGTTAACATTCATACTAAGACAGGAATCCAATAATTAACGCTTCAAACTATAAAACATTATCCATTAAATTCGATAGTGTAATAAGAAGACGAACATTATCAGAACTATGTGATACTTACGCCTGTTACTCCCAATGGTTTTTAGGCCCCTGACCAGCAGTCTCCAACCCACTCTGTCCTGAACTATGTGATATATTAGTGCAATACATTTCGAACAATCTGATCATACATATACTTGTTAAGAACATTTATATATAAAATTAAAGGTCAACTAGACTAGAAATGGGGGGTAAGAGTAGACAAGGATAATAATAATAATAAATGTGAAAACAATTTGACACCTAATCATTCTGGATAATAAGCTAATATTACCAGGGTAGATTTAAGATGAGAACGAACTGTTTTTAAATAGATCAGAAGAGGTTTCTGTGGAGAATTTAGTATTTTCATAGTTGTAACCATGAGTCATCTGAAGCTTGACCACCATGGTAAACCTGGAAACACTGCTTCAAGGCCGTTTCATCCTATTGTGGGACTCCTCAACAGTGCACATCCACGATCCCGTACTCGCTAGATTCCAACCCAGGACCTACCAGTCTCGCGCCAGGGCATTTAACCGATAAACCACTGAGCCGGCATCCAATGGTGTTAATGTTTTTAACTACGCGAAACAGGGTTTGAATTTTCGTATAGCTAAGGTTTCAATAAACCTTAGTATATTCCCTTTTACACTAACCCCCCATTTCCAGTCTAGTTGACCTTTTATTTTATACATAAATGTTCTTAACAAATGTAATCAGACCGTTCGAAATGTATTGCACTAATATATATCATATAGTTCAGGATAGAATGGGTTGGAGACTGCTAGTCATAGGCCTATAGTCCATTGTGAGTAACAGGCGTAAGTAAGTAAGTAAATATAACATAGTTCTGATAATCTTCGTCTTTTTATTACACTATGTCGAAATTTATAAAAGGGACCTATTGATTTAAATTATCCATTAAGTTATTCAGTTCAAGTAACTACTTATTTTAATACAATGAATAAAGATTTGAAGGGTTTATAGTAAGTATACGTTATAAATAAAGATTTGAAATTTCTATTATCAAATAATAGCGAAATTCAAGCCCTTTCCTGTGTAATTATGTAAAACAAAATATCAGATTTCATAATAGAGGTAATGAAAATAAGAGATTTGAACATATTTTTTTCTAAGCATTTGTGTCTTCTCACTTATTGTGAAGTAGAGTGAGAGATAATTATTTTAATAGTTGAGATAATGAATCAATTGTAGCTAGACCATCATAGAAAACCTAGAAGCACTGAACGGTCATTTCGTCCTATTATGGGACTTCTTGGCAGTGCGCATCCAACATCCCGCCTCGTGAGATTCGAACCCGAGACCTATCAGTCTCGCGCGCTAGTTCTTAATCACTAGACCACTGAGCTTACCGAAGTGCAACGGTGGTAATGTCTAACTTCAACAGATCCACGAAATTGTGATTTGTAATTGTAATCTGTAATATTTATGTATGAATAATATGACAACTAACACAATTCCAGATATGACCAAGAACTAACTGAATGGGAACATTTTCTGATGCTCCGTTTGTCTTTTTCTATGTATTAATAAAATATTTGTTTTTGATCCAATACAAATAAAATTTCATTACAATTAATTCATGAAGCGATCTAAATTGAAGCATCATGTTCCATCCAAGTATTGAACTCTTTAGCACTTCACTTTATGAGCACATCAGAGAAGATAGAACCTAGAATATTCGGCTTTGCACGCAAACAGCTAACCTCTGGACCCTGGATTCCGAATCCAGTGTTGTACTCACCTAAATTAAATAAATCCACGATATTGCACAATCAACTTTCACTGTCACTGGTGGGTAACTGCTTAACCCCCGACTGGTCATGATTTCTCTCTAGAACATCAGAAATTTCCTCTCGAAGCTAGCCATCAGTGAGCACCTGATAATTGTTAGCATGAGGTTGTGGAAATTATTAAGTCTCATTGAAATCACAATTTAGTCTAACTAAGACCACCTTTAAGAGCCTGGAAATACTGGGAAATGTTTCGTCCTAATATGGGATTCCTCAGCATCTGTATGACGTGTATAACGTTATTGTCTCTTTTGTACACTAATTTCTCACAATAATGCCAAAAATGCTGTTATGAAACTTATTCTATTTCTTTTTCAGAGTTACAATAACAGGACTAAATCCACAGACACGTTATCAGTTCGATGTTTATGCACACAATGCTGTGTCGACTAAAACAGGAACTATGTGGATTAATGTAGCTAGTGTAATGGTTACAACAGGATCGGGTAAGTTGAGATGAGATTAATTTGACAGATGCTAAACATAACATTTCATAGCATTGATCTCATATCTTGCATGTTTTCACCATATCGATCATATCACCCAATCGTGTTCTTCTTGTATCTCAGATAACCTAATTGATTCTATGGTACATAACGTCATTACCAGGAAAAGATTAGAGTCTTGTAAATGTTTACTAAAATAAGATAGTATTAGAGAATCGCTAGGTATTCAATAGAACCATTTATAATAATTTCCATATCTCTCAATTTTATAGTTTCATGAATGTATGCCAAGTTCACTGGCAAATATATGCTATATATTTGATCTTTGAGTTATTTATCTAATCCCTACTACTTGATACCCTAAACTATCTTTTAATTTTTTTTTAATTCTTGGTCTTACATGTAGCCGATTAAGTTTCAAACTTTGATCCAGAGAAAACTCCTAGAGCTTGAAAAGTTTAGCATCCACCTTTACGGATTCAAAAAATCAATTCTCTAAAAAATTAATGTTCAGCTTATGCGTCGAATCATTTACCATGTGTGATATTAAATGTGTCATCAACCGTGATAATTAATATTAAATTGCATACTACTTTGAATACTATAATGTTTGGAGTATCTACTTGATGACCTGTTGAAACACCTGAATGAGTTTAGGCTTTTCATTGATTATGACGGAAGTTAGGTTGTGGTTTGATCAAGTTTTCTGTCTGAATTATTGGGTTACATCTTGATCGGGTCTAGGTTATAAGATTAAATTATGATATAATGGTTGGAATGAACTGGAAGTACAGTGGATTTCCAAGTGTTCCAGATATGAACTATCATCCGTTATTTCATTCGCCTAAAATTCGCATAAATAAACTGGCTTGTGAGTTTTACTGGAAATAAGGGTCACAAATAATTTATTCATAACCGCATTTGAATCTTGCGAGGGTTTTTTATGAACAGAAAGAAAAGAATCAACAAAGATACCGTAATTAATTGTACTCAAACATACATTATCGCCGAACAAAAGCGTTTGTTTATTTGACTTCTAGACAATCTCATGATTAGAATATAATTTAACAACATCACTTTGAATGAATACTCCAGAAATATGCAAAAAATGTAGATATCAAAGTGAAATCGGTACTGAAAATTGAATTTAACAGCAGTTTACTACCACTCAAAATAATGAACTTCTTAGTTTTACATTCGATTACCAATTTAATTTCAAACTGTTGTGCCTCATCACTTTAGTAATCCATGATACGATGCCTCTTTGTACCAATGAGAAAATACGCCATGGACATGAATCTCCTGTTTAATACCGTATACTACACCTAGGCTAACGCTGTTCGAGAGGTGGTGTTTGTAAAAAGCCAAATACAGATTAGGTTAGATGAGATAAGAAGTAGGAGATGGTGACCGTGTCAACTCCATTTTACTACTCACTAAAAGCGTTAATATAGCTTGAAATGTATATAGCATAGTGTAACTAAGAGATAAGGATTGGATGAAAAGTAAATGATAAATAGATACACGCAAGTATGCATGACGACCGTAAGAGTAGAACTACAAGGACATGAACATAAGACGCATTATATGTCCAAGTTCGTGATTTCCTAACAAAAGGATTGAGTTATTATTACAGTGTAAATGAATTAATAATCATATACTATTTGAGTTGATAAAGTCTGCACAAAAGCTACGATGAATCGTGTGTGTGTGTGTGTGTGGTAGTTACTACACTCTACAAAGAAAGGCTAAAAGTAAATGTTTCTTTTGGCCAAATTATAAAAAAAAAACATAAAATTATAAAACGTTTTCATTTATATCGTAAATTTTCGTCAGTTTCTTACATCCTAGAAACAAAAGTAATTATTATTTATATCTAATATGCTTACCGTTACACTCTCTACTTGATTACGGTAGAATACAATATACAGCTGATGGCGCTTGAGCGTGTAGAAATCCACGGTCTCAAATCAGAATATAGGAGAAGCAGGAGAAATGATTAGTGGGTAAGGATCAAAAATGTACAGAAAAACATGAGTATGTACAGATGTTATCGTTAGCTATAACATGTTTATAATTCAGCCAAACCTCAAGGATGCAATTTACGCTACCATCCAATCATAGCATGTCACATTGATATTCTAGAAAGCTCTTTCAGGCAGGGATTGGATGGAAACTACTCTGCTTTTTTAGAGTCTTTGAAAGCTTCTCAAAAATCATCCAAACACATACTACTAATGAATTTTAGTAGAATAACGACGGCAGATGTGAAAGAATGAATTTTTCTAATAATGGTACTAGTGAAGTCTATGTTTTAAACAAATTTATCAATGAGGAAAAGAGTATGATCTTTGTTTCAGAATAAATAATATGCTTCATTGAATTCATACATACCATTTATCCCACGATAGATGCTCATTATTAAGTATTAGTAGTTGATATGACAAAATATATACATTAAATGAAATTTTAACTCTGGTTAGACCTTACCACTGATGGATGCCGGCTCAGTGATCTAGATGTTGAGTGTTCGCCCGCGGTACCGAAGGTCCTGGATTCGAACCCTGCATGCGGGATCGTGGATGCGCGCCACTGAAAAATTCCATACTAGAACGAAACGGCCATCCAATGCCTCCACGTTTTCAATAGTGGTCTAACATCAATCGATTCATAATCTCCACAACCCTATCATTCAATTTAATTTATAAAATTTCATATAACCTTATCTAATTGTTTTATTTATTCATTACCACTTTCAAGCACCAACTTATCTCATATCTGATATTCAAACCAATTGGCTTAATATAAGTACAGTTCATATAAAATGGGAAGTTTATCAAATTATTACATCATCATCATCATTACCTACATCAACAATGATACCATCTAATCTAACTAATTCATTTGATCCAATTAAAATAAATAAGATCACAACTAATTTAACAATAAATTTCACATATCAATTATGTTTATTTGATCAATCCAATGAAAATGTTCATTATAAAAATGATCAAACTTATACTATTCAAACTGATCCAGATCATAAAAATCATTATAGTTATATGGATCATAAAAAGACCAATATAAATCTAACCTATACTGAAAATAATATTAATAATAATAATAACCATAGCGGTGAAAGAAGTAGACGACAGTTTCTGTATAATAAAGCAATGCAACAAACTGATCTTACACATGGTACTGGACTTATTGGATATCCTGATGCTGTACATTATACTAGTCAAACAGAAGTTATATTATATAATTTATATTCAAAATCAGGATTTTTAATACAAGTATGTGATTTGTTTATACTAAATAAGCTCTCTTTTTATATCAGAAGGGGCTTTTGTGGAAATTTAGTATTTTCATAGTTGAAAGCGTAAGTCAATTGAAGCTAGACCACCAGCGGTCTATCGATTAAGTGCTCTGGCGCGGGACCGGTAGGTTCTGGGTTCGAATCTCGCGTGGCGAGGTCGAGGATGCGCACTACTGAGGAGTCCCACAATAGGACGAAACGGCCCTCCAGTGCTTCCAGGTTTTCTCTTTAAATATTCTTAGATTACCATCATTTGGAGTCCTAGTGAGAATAAAAAGCATTGATTAGTTTGAGTACAAGACATTTTAACAACATATACTTGTGGTCCCTCATGAGATTGAACCCAGAAAATTTAGGCCACATGGTAAGATGAAAACTATATGATTATCCAGTTGCTAAGCAATCGTTTACAATTCAGACATCGATACAATTCCTAATGCTTCGTTTTAATCCCCAGTGTTATAAGTGTTCTGAATTTTTAAAAATATAGACTTACTCCAATTTGGTGTGTTTTTATGTCCGGCTTTTTATCCACAAATCGGAACACGACTTGTCTAATCTTAACACTGTACCAAAACAATGATGTTCAACCGGCATGAGCAGTCTAGCGTCCTTATTGGTGCATTGTCCGCCCAGCCCCTCCAATTGAGTCCGGAACGCCAATGGCATCTTCCCTTATGCGAATCATTTACTTCAAACATACTTGGTTTAAATACCAGACAGACAGACCACATCACACCATACAATAGAAAATAATATTTATACAAGATCAAGTCAAATGTGGCTGTGAACGTGGGATACAATAATCAATAAACTGAGTATAATTTAGGAACAGTAGTTCTTATAGTAATAATCTATAGATCAAAATGAAGCTTATGATAAGAGAAATATAGATCTAGTTACTCAATATTTAGGCAATAAGAATATATATAGAATAATAGTCCATTAATAGGTTCCAGAAGTTACCCGTACTTATGTCTTCACTAGGATGTAACAATTAATAATCCCAGCCTCAGATGTCTATGATCACTGGTGAATAACTGCATATCACAGTGGAACAGTCATCCAATGACTAACATTTTTAAACGATTTTTGAATTAATAACCCGAGGCAAATATCAACAACATATTAAACTAAATAACAAAGATGATTTATTTGTATTCAAAATGTTTTCTTTTAATATAGGGAATTTCTTCTTTGAATAAAAGGTATGCATATGTTCATTCTTGACCGTTAATCTACATACTTCTTTACAATAATTACAGACAACAGAACAGTACATTTTTTATCTCAGTAGTATTGACTAGAATTGTGGTGTGGTCTAATTACATCCATATAAGTAATATATGGTGATGGTTAGACATGGAATGTATTTTGGCAGAAGACTGATAAGGAAAGAACTTAAATGAAGCACAATTGGTAGGAAAATGCATGAACAATAATAATCGGAGACGACGAACTGATATTTACATAAGGAGCAGTCAGGATTAAGACAATTGATTGTTATTTTGCAAATTAACTGTTTGCTGTATGGTTATCAGAATTTAGTGAGATAATCTGTAATTTGTGCTGATGTACATTTGATTGTCGCCACTAGTGTTTTGTTCACTACAGAATGACACTATTATTTAGTTAGTTCTGGACTCTTCACAATACTTTACACATTAACATAATCAGTACTGTTCCAAACTTACTGACATTCATTTAACTGGAACTTTTAATTAGTATATGGTAAAATTATACAATTCTAACGGTCTTGAAACAACGAATCATAACTAAGCTAACTCCGATCATATGATTTTGAGATGTTAGAGAAGATTTGTAGCTCAGGTGAATGACTTTGATGGAGTTTTGTTCTCGGAGCTGGATGGTTTGGTCATGGAGCTTTCATCGTTCTTCTGAACGACATCATCAGCACAAACTTCAGTTAGAAGTGAAGTGTTCGAATTTCTCTACATTTGGTTCACAGCTTGTACTGATGATGTCGTTTCAGAAGGATGATGGAAGCCTCACGACTAAACCATCCAGCTCAGAGAACAAAACTCCATCAAAATAAGCTAACTCCTAATGTATTTTAGGTGAAGTTTAAACTGCAGTGATAGATAACTTGTATGTTATTCTTAACTAGATGAAAAGTCATAATAATTTGTTCCTGAAATGCTTAGCATCAATAAAAATATTTATTATGCAAACAAAATGTGAGTTTATTATGGTGCTTACCCAACTGACAAGCATATCCGCTTTAAACATAGATACCGTGATGATCTTCTTGACTAGGATGGTATTGAGAATTCTTAGAACGTGTAGTCATATCAATCTAGTTATCATAATAGATAGGTTTTTTTCTGTTTTGTGCGTGAAAAGTGACCATTGTTAATAGAACATATTCGTAGATTACCATTGCCTATTCATTCGGAGATCAATGGGGGAGCAGTTCTGACGATAAGTATACGGTCTATGTAATTATAAGAAAATGATTGATGCCGTAGTAAATCTTCATAAACTGAGGTAGCTACAACATGTGTTACGTACGTTCAACTACGGTCTGTTTCGACAGGCAATATTGTCCGGTGTAAAATTAGTCTAGAAGAAAGCTAGAGATAACCGAGTAAATGCATAGAACCAGTTAATGAACACACTGACTATTGGATTGAGCCATGTTAATTGATGTGGCCTACGTGGTTGAGAACTGAATGGTTATTGTAAACAATGGTTAGAGACTTTGATTAAAATAGCTCAGAATCGTTTGCACTTGTTCACATGCATTCACTCCTTGTCTTCCCTTAGCAACTCAGTACCGAAATGTCTTTATACATCTTTTCCTCTTTCTATACCTAACTTTCTCTACTTCTACCGTTACTGTTTCTAATTCTACTACTCTGGGATTTATGTTAAAGTAATTTTATCTCGCTGTGCTAATGTGGTTCGATATTTTGAACCGATGCACATATTCGTCAGGTTTTATGTTGGGTATGACTGACTGACTAACTGGATAGATCAGTAAGATTATTTTCATATAAAATAAATGTAAAATATCAAGCTAATTCACTACAAAAAACAAGTGTTTTTTTCTGAAAAGATAATTTGTCCATTTATGATGAAAGATCTCCAAGTAACTTTATCATCGAATCTCCTTTCTAGCTATTCCCTAGTGCTACTCAAATTCTCGATATCTCCATACCATTCTCGACTTCATGTGTTTTTTTTCTGTCCCATTTTCCAATTCCCTCGAGGATTTCAAGTTTTGTGTTATAGTTTGATAGTTCTATTAGTTAGTATTCAAATTCCAACATAAAACTGTTTTCGAAATTGAGTACTTTCAATGTATCACTAATAACAATTTCAAGCTTTAACTCTAAAACTTAAAAACGTCTATCAAGTAACTGTAGACTGGATTATCAAATGTATTAAGCATGTACAAATAAAATGTGAATTACAAATAACGTTTAGAGTTTAACTTGTGTATCTATTTGCCTTTTTTTTAACAGATTCGAGCTCAAAGTCCTAACTCTTATTGTCCGTTTAGTTCTCCAATCCTTTTATTATCACCAAAATGTAAGTTTTAAACACATTATTACTGCCCATAAGTAATGTTGTGTGTAAATCTTAGTAATTGACAAAGTTCCATATTGATATATGTTTCATACTAGACATCACTCCTAAAGAAAATAATGATCCGATGAAGTTCAAACACATTTCATCTTGTATCACAATCAAAAAACATTTCGCCAGTAGTTTCAACGACTTGACTCTAGTCAAGTCTCTCTAGTCACATACATAATTGACCAAATCTAAACTTGGTCGCTTTAGCTCGATTCATCATTCAAGACCAGATATGGCAGTATTCACTGACAAATTAGTATAAATAATGACTAAAATGATGATAAACAATTGTTATCCTGTGAAAATGTCCTGTCAAATTAATGAACGCCTCGTTTTTTGTGTTAGTGACTGATAAAATATTTCAGATCAGCTACCGTTAGATACATATATACAACTGAAAGTATTCAGAATGCAAAGATCTATATAACATTAAATTAATACAAATAAAGACTATATTTCATGCAGTTAGTTCCCTTTATGAATTTCAATAAAGACAGAACAAATATTGATGCAGAATAGAATGAATTCATTATATTTCGTGGTTTCTGATCAGCTGCTTACAAACAAATATGTATTAGAATTTTAGCATTGGGGTAATAAATAGTGTGGAACAATTGACATGAATGTAAAGGATTGGAATAACAAAAGGTTATCAAAGATAACTATATATATATATATAAAGGTCAGAGGTTATTAGGTATTAGAATGAAGGGTGGCGTAATAGTTGAGTGAAGTTCAAAGACAGATCAAAAGTGTGATAATTTTAGAGGTAATTAAAACAATTAGGATGAGTTACGTAATAACTGAATAAACTTTGGTAAGTTCATATAATTAAGAGACAAGTGAGCGGAAATGTGAGAGAAAGGGTGGTTTAAGAATTGGGTAAAGGAAGAGGAATATAATAAAAACTTAATATTAAACAAAATAAAAGTAATATCAAAAAATTAAACAAAAAAAACGGTTTACCAGGGTAGTAATAAGTATATCACTGTCTCTTTTCGAGTACATAGATCCGGTTTGAGTTTTTTTTTATCGCGATCGCTTCAGCAAACCGGAGAGCAGTTGTACTTCTTTGTTTGATAATGATTTTGAAGGCATAAGAAATGTCAATGGTGTGCCCGGTGTCGAGTAAATGACGAGCTATCGCACTATTGGGAGCCCTGGTCCCTTGCAGCCTCAGTTTCTTAGGAACATGCTCAGAAATGCGAACATGTACTCTTCTCTCGGTTCTTCCAATGTATGTGCTTTAGCACGTGCATGTAAATTGGTAAATGCAGTTGGAGTTCCATCCTATTTATTACCCCAATACTAAAACTCTAACGCATATTCGGTTGTAAGCAGCTGATGAGAAACCACGAAATATAATGAATTCATATTATTCTGCATCAATATTTGTTCTGTGTTTTTTTAAAGACTATATGTTCAGCTAACTGAATATCACAATAAATTAATTCGAACGAATGTTATATTGAATGAATGGTCTTGAATTCTGTCCCGTACAAACATTTGACACTTTTGATCTTGCTTCTACTACATGTTTCCTTACTAGAGTGCATAATAATTGCTCAGAGAGTTTTACAAGAACATTAAACAAACATTTTCAATCATACCTTCTTAAGCTTAACTATTCTGTTAAAGTAAATAAATTATGATTTAATATTATAGTTGAAATCATAAGTCGATTGAAGCTAGACCACCATGCAAAATCTGGAAGCACTGGACAACCGTTTCGTTCCATCGTGAGACTCCTCAACCGTGCGCATCCACTATTCCGCCTCATGAGTTTCAAGCCCAGGATCTATCAGTCTCCCCTTCTGATAATATGATTTAACTCTTGTAAACATAAATCTTATTGAAAATTGTTAAGTACTAATGATAACTAATTCAGGGACAATTTTGATAATCCTAAAAGAAAAAAAACAACGAGAACATTTAATGGGAAACAAGTTAGATAATTTAGATCAAAACTTAATATCCATATAATAGTTGTGAGAATAGTCACCTGTTTAAATAAACCACCACTATGTAAATAAGTAAATTATCAAGTTTAATGTTGATTATAAATTACATTCTTATTATTCATTTAAGTTTAAATCTTCCATTTTGGTATCCTGTTATAGCTAATAAATAATCCATTTATCATGAAATGAAAGACTTTTCTTCTTCTCTCGAACTGTCAGTAATGTGAAACATTGTAAGAATGGCATTCCGACTAGATAGGAAACACAAGGAGATTATTTATTGGAGATAATAAGAACACTATACTGTTTTATATGTGTCATTATAATATCCTATAATGAGTTATCCAACTTGTGATCTATCAAATTTTGTATGGTTACAAATTATTAGATATATATCTTTAAATATATGGTAACAAGATCAATATGACCTAGAAGAAAGTTATTTCCTTACTCCGAAACCATACAGAATACATTGAAGTTTACTTTACGTACGCCTGCTATCCCTCATGGAGGAGCATAGGCCACACACCAACATTCTCCATCCAACTCTGTCCTGGGCAATCCTTTCCAGTTCTTTTCAGCTAACATTCATCCATTTCATATCTGCATCTATTTCACGGAGTATTGTGTTCTTTGACCTTCCTCTTTTCCGCTTCCCTTCACCATTCCAAGTTAGGGCTTACCTCGTGATGCAGTTTGATGATTTCCTCAATGTATATCCTATCCACTTCCAACGTCTTTTCCTAAGTTCCTCTTCAGCTGGAAACTGGTTTGTCCTCTACAATAAAACGCTGTTGCTAATAGTATCCGGTCACTAAATGTTGAGTATTTTGCGTGGGCAAATGTTTGTAAATACTTGTACCTTCTTAACAATGGTTTTAGTAGTTCTCCAAGTTTCAGCTCCGTACAATAGGACTGTCTTGACGTTCGTACTGAAGATTGTGACTTTGATATTGGTACACAGTTGTTTTGAGCTCCATATGTTCTTCGATTGTAGAAATGCTGTCCTTGCTTTGCCAATTCTAGCCTTTACATATGCATCAGATCCTCCTTGTTCATCGATGCTGCCCAGCCAGGTACGTGAAAGATTACAGATCTTCCAGAGTTTCACCATCAAGTGTGATTGGGTTGGTGTTCTCCGTACTGTATTTGAGGACCTTGCCTTTTCGTTTGTGTATACCGAGGATTACTGATTCAGAGGCTGCTGCTACATTAGTTGTCTTCGTCTGTATTTGTTTGTGTGTATGGGACAAAACGGTTAGGTCATCTGCGAAGTCAAAGTCTTTTAACTGATTCTGAGATGTCCATTGTATTCTGTGCTTACCGTCAGATGTCGAGGTTTTCACGTTTCAGTCAATCAACAGAAGAAAGAGGAATGGGGAGAGTAGACAGCCTTGTCTGACTCCGGCCCTTACTGGAAATGCATCTGTCAGCTGTCCTCTATGCTCCACTTTGTACTATAGCCCGTCGTATGAGTTATGTAACAGGATGAGGTTGTGTTATTCAGGTTGTATAAAGGCTCGGAGGATCATCCTTAAAAGCAGTGACAAATTACCATCTTGCAAGGTATATTTCCAATTACGAATGGAACACCTAGTAAAAGATGTTTTTCACTGAAGCATATATACATATCTTCATCTGACATTTGTAAGAAGCAAACTTTCTTTCCTGAAAGTAAAACTTAGGATTCTTAATAATCCTTACATTTACATATATGATCTCAAGTTTAATTATTTGCCGTTAAACCATTGGATTTGTTGGAAATGTTAGAATTTTACTGTCTTCAATATTTTTGGTGGAGTTTTGTTTTCTACGTGGGATGATTTAGTCGTGCAGCTTTCATTGTTCTTATAAACAACATCATCAGCACAAACGTCTGATAGAAGTGAAGTGTTCAAATTTCTCTAGATATGATTAACAGTATATCCTGTTGACCTGTAACCTTCTAGGTCGGTGAATAAGAAGAAGCTAGTATGCTTAAACTTATATATGATATATATTTAGATATACTACTTATTTATAAATTTACAGTTTACATTCTTCTCTATTCATTTTTTTTGTATCCTAGTCAATATAACTGCTAACACATCAGAACTATATAACAATCATCGAATAAATAAGGTTACCAACGAAAGTATTTACAATCAATTGGATCATATTATACCCATATCCACGGCAACATTACATTCAATGCCAAATCAAAAATCGACATATACATCTTCTTTTATAAATTATACAATAGATAAGTTATCAAATCGAAGTTCGTCATCAACATCATCATTAACAAAGAATTTCTCAACAATCACATCAAATCCATCTGTAATAACTATTGGACTATTTTTATCTGTTGCGCTGACTACGATGATCAGCATGATTTTATTGATAACGCTCATTGTGTTATGTATTTATCGGTAGGTGTGATGTTTAGTTATTCAATAAGTTTCTATTAATCATAATATAGAATGTATATTAAGTGAACCCATCTAAGTTGAACAATTCTTTATAAGCTTGAAGTACTGGACGGTCGTTTTATCCTAGTATTGCAGTGAACAAGAACATAGGTGGGGAAAATCGAATGTATTCAAGCAAAAATTACAAACTATCTTACTAAAATCTGATAACCATACAGTAAACAGTTAATTTGCAAAATGGCAATCAATGGTCTGAATCTTAACTGTTTCTTCTGTAAATATCAGTTCATCTTCTCTAGTTCCATTGTTTATGCATTTTCATACCGATTGCGCTTCATTCCTATTCTTTCTTTATCGATCTTCTGCCAAAATATATTCTATGCCTGACCATTACCATTTACTACTTATGTGGATATAAGTAACCCACGCTACAGTATGAGACTCCTCATTACTGAGCATCGAAGACCTCCTACGCTGGAATCGAACCTAGAAGCTTCGGCTTAACCTATAGATCTTTGAGCCAGCATCCAATGGTGTGAATGTTTAACTAAAATCAATCCACGATGATTAATATCATCACCAGGAATTCTCGGAAGATTATTTGACGTTGAATGTCCACTTAAAGTTTTATTTGTATTATCATGAATCCTTTATGTTTCTTAAAATTCAACCAATTTTACCCGCAAACCCTAATAATTTAGAAGTATTTACCGTTGATATTAGATTATAATACTACTTTGTTCACTGAATACACGAACTATGGATATAAAAATTTATGTTATGGAATATAAGGTACGCCATTCGGATCAACTTCAAAATACGTTCCAGTTATAATAAGGCACATGTTTAAACTCATTCTGCTGTCAAACTCTTCTTGGCATTTAATAGTTGAGCAAGACATTATGATAAACGCTTTTATAGGTTTAACAATATCCCCTTCGGAACATTCCTAGTCATGGCTTGTCTGACTTAAAATGTAAATTTTTGTTTAATACGTATGAAGATCAGTTCCTGTATTTCGATTAACTGAAAAATGTCTCTCTTCTAAGCTGTATACATCATAATACAAATCAATCCGTTTTTGTGCTAAGTAAAAATGAGTGAATTGCTTTCCTTGTTTGACGAACTATGACTGCTGAAACCATCTTGGAGCTAGTAGTTCAGTTGAGACTGTTGAAAAACAATATCGATGAGTATCGACTAATGCAAAGCCTGCAACAGGGATCTCCAACCACTTAACATTAAACATGACGTGTTGTAATTCCAAGTCATGTAACCTAGTGACTGAACATCATTTCAACGGATGAATTTTGATAGCTACTGTTGACTTGAAAAAGTGTAATCAAATATACATTGATTACCAATTATTGTAGACATTTATACTGATTGAATGTAATATCAGAGAACTAATGGTTTTATTTTATAAATATAACTTGTAGATGAACCACACAACTTTATGCTTGTAAAGGTTCGCATTATTCCGTTGTTGCTGTTCAGGACACCACAAGAACAATTACTGGGTATATATTTATTTTGATCGAATGCTTTGATATATATCGGTCGAACAAACTGATGACTATCTATGTAAAATAGCTTTGTGAAAAACATAATATCGTCTGAAAATATCTTTATCGAGTCCAATTTTTAGCGTAAATGTCAGCGCTAGAATGTATAAAAATCTGACTGAAGAGTACCGAAAAATTGGATTCGAATACTCCTCACTACCCACAAATAAACGGATGTTTGTGTTTATTATTTTCAGAAACAAAACCCATTAGAGAAATGAATTCTATGATTATGCATGATCGTAGATAAATTAACAACTTTTAAAACCTTCATTTTAGCTGGTATATAGTACTAGCTTATAATAAGCTGTCTAGATTACGACTCCACTAAAAGAATTACTTAAGGCTAGTGAAATGATATTAACCGGCAAACTTGTATGTGGATTCCCAAAAACTTTGGTTATTAGTCCATCACAGAAACAACCTGTGTATAACCACACATAACTCTAGTCAACCACGCCTCACAGTAACAACTGAATGGTAGAAAAGATTACTGTTTCCTGGATCCCATTTTCATGATGATTACGACCTTTTAATTCGCACTACTTTTTACATCCAATCAAAATTTGTTGTCTTCTGCAGTTCGATATCCTCACTATCACTTTTTTAATAATTTACTTCCAAGTTATGTGGAAGATGAACAAGACCTTATAGAAAGCTTTATTGGCCAAAACCAGAAAACGATTTTCCCAACTCATGAGATAAATGCTATTATCTTGTCTCGCTGAATAGTTCATGAACTATGACTTGCATCTCATTAGCTATGTAACCTAGGCATGGTATGGAATCTTTTAGGCTATGCAAGACATATCATTTTCTAATAAAGTCAATACTGAGATTATGTATGATTGTGTAATTAAATAGATTGTGGCTAGCAATGGAATCCAGGACACGCATTTCGTCCTTTTTGAGAATTATCAACCTATATATCTGCATCTCAGAGTTGCTATTCCTTCAAACTAGAGTAACTTTTAATCACATATAAAGAGCCTGTCACACGATGTACAAAAACCTTGATGTTAGTGGAATAATGTACTCCTACTCAACTAGAAATCCTTCACAATGAAAATAAGAACCAAAACCTAATAATTCAGTTGTGTACACACCATTTCAATCACTGAATTATTTGAATAGATACCCATAGGAGAACATGAATGAAAGATATAAGAACGTCATTATTAATTTCATCCAACCGCTATAAGAACACTTGTTTTAATACACCACCATCTTAGGAACATCGTGTTATAAATTGTGATAGATATGATATTTTCTAATTATAAACGACTGGAAGATTCTTTTAATATGAAATGAGATCTATGGGAACTAGATAGACTAGAAAAATAATTCAACTCAACAATTTAACGTTTACAATTCTCATCTGTATAAAACTAATTGATGACTTGAGAGAAGAATGTATCCAGTAAAGACTATTGGAAGAATTCTTCCCAAGTGTAATTTTTTTTCTTTTGTGATTTAACATTCTTAACAATAACCAGTAGAGTTCAACCAGGTCTAATGAGAGATATCAACTCACTGAAGACATTGGTAAATGATTGCTCAACTTCGTGGATTGGTTGAAGATAGACATTACCACCAATGGATGCCGGCTCAATGGTCTAGTGTTTAAGCGCTCGCGCGCGAGACTGATAGGTCCTAGGTTCGAATCTCACGAGGCGAGATTGTAGATGCTCACTGCACAAGAGTCCCATAATAAGACGAAACGGCCGTCCAGTGATTCCAGGTTTTCTGTGGTGGTCTAGCTTCAATTAACTCATGATTTCAACTATATAAAATAAAAATACATTATCACTACTAATAGTAGTAAATCTCATTGAAATTTGTTTTTACAATTTAGTAAAGAAAGGCGTCGTAAACTTATTCAAAAGAAAATCAGTCAATTATGGCCCAATATAAATCAATGTAAGTCTATACATATTTTGTTCATTCAATCAACCTTGTCTTTAGAAATTTTCTTTTTTAATTAGTAAATGTCATTCAACTTTTAAATCAGTTAAAATATACCCTAATTGATATTACTTAACATTTTGTAAGTAGACTGTTTAGTGGTAGCTTTATGTATAATGAATAGAACATTCCATTTGTTCAAATATATTTCATTATCAAAATGATGTATGAAAGAAAAGTGATAGATTTGATAACGATGTCGTTTATTTTTAGTTCATTTTTAAAATTTACATTTGCATTTAAGTAGTATACTCGGTCAATGTTAAATATTCAAAGTAGAAGTTAATATTTTTTTTCTTTTAAAAATACACTGTCCACAATTTTGAAGCGCACAGACCGAAACAGGTGGTTTTCTTAGAGGGCCACACTCTAAGCCTTTGATCTGAAGGTCTAATCTACAAGGCAGTGGAGCAACGTCTGGAGATGCAGTCCCATGGTAGCCGGTGACCAACGATTAGCTCATAAGCCATTTGTTCACTCAAAATCCTGGAGCTCATGTGCACCATTAGTTTGAAATCAGGATTTTCCAACTCTCTTGGGTGGATCGATCCACCATATCTAACAACCCAGTTAAATGGCTGGACATTCGCTTTTCGTCCTCCCAATTTCGTAAACAACAGTAATGCTGCGAGAAGCAGTGAGTAGGACTTCCTTAGCAGTGGTTGTATACGCGTGTCTATGTCAGAGGATTTTGAGAGGAAGAGCGGACTTTCTCCATCCTTGGCCGAACCAGGCCTTTCGGGCGTACATAAATTCGGCATTTCTACGAAATTTCAGATAAATATTTTAACAATATTTGGATAAATTACGCAAATCATACTATGTTTACTTTCTGAGTTAACCATATATCTGGAAATAAATACGTATATTTGAAATGGTTTTATTATCTAGTGATAATATTAACTCGCTGATTGATTTATTATATAATAGAATAAAAATTGATTTTAGTAGACCTAACTGAGTAATATTGAAACGATGAACCGAGCAATGATAGACCACCATTGAAAACCTGGTAAGCAGTTATTACCGAAGATAATAGAAGATGATTGCGCAATGTTTTCGACTGTTTGAGATTAAACATTTATAACGTTAGATATCGGCTCAGTGGTCTAGATTTTAATTGTTCGCCCGCGAGACCAAAGACCTTGAGTTCATGTCCCGTGTGCGGGGGTCGTGTATGAACACCACTGAGGAGTTCCAAACTGATATGAAATGGCTGCTCAGTCCTCACAAGTTTTCAATGGTGGTCTAATTTAGGTTGCACAATGATTTCAATGAAATTTAACAATTTTCACAACTTAATAAAAAAAACAGAATAATTAATAAATCTGTTATAACTTTTGGTTGGGTGAATGCCTTGTTAACGTATAACGTGGTAAGACCGCCAATCAGAGAGCAGCGAATTATCGATTCGAACAGTGGCACACGAAAACCATACGAGCAGTTTAGAATACTTATCGATCCTGCACCTGCCTAGCCCAGCCAGTTAAGTCCAGAACACCAATAACAGCCTCTGCAGTATGATCCCAAAGTAAACATCCTTATCGGGGCATAATACAAAATCAATATACGTACACAAATTAACTAACAAAAAGAAAAAAAAATCCCTAAATATAACTTATTTACTGAATTGTATAATGATTTCTTGCCAAGAGATGCGATCTAAATTGTTCTTCAAAGAGTAACATATTCATAGATAATGAATCAAATGATCATTTTGATTATAAGCTCAATACATTGAATGAATTCATTAATACATAAGATTAGGTTAGTCAAAACAATATGAACCAGTAATGGAATTATCTTTTTATGACACTTTTTTCTAATGAGTTAATATTTTTATATTCAAAATATTATAGATAATCTATTACATAATTAAATGTAATCTGTTCTAACTTGTATCCTCGGATTAGAGAGTAGTAATTTATTGATCAGAATCAATGATACATGAAACCTGTACTAGAAGTTCAGAGTAATTGTCGGTCCTGCTTTCTGCCTGGCTCAGCAAGTTAAGTCCAGAACACCAATAACAATATGAATCATTATTCTCAAATATACTGGGTTTATATACCAAACAAACAGACCACATCGTACCATAAAATAGAAAATAACATTTGTACAAGATTTGGCAAAATGTGTCTGTGAAGAGGGAGAACAGTAGTTAATAGACTGTGGATAACTCAAGAATGGTAAATTGTATAGTAATAGCTCATAGATCAAAATAAAGCTTATAATAAGAGGGACACGAATATGAATAGTTTAGTTACTTAACAATTATACCATAGGAAATATACATATCATATTGGTCCATAAATAGTTCTCAAGGTTACCATTCATAAATCTCTTAGGGATATAACATAATCATTCACTTAAACAGAATAAATAATATATTTTAAAATATACTTAAAGAATTATCCTATGAAATATAATTCTCTGTAGGAGTTAATATTATCATATCACTTAGTACTTAAGTAATCTAATCAACGATGAAGTGATTATAAGGAAGAATTGTATACAATCAACTACTGACAAAATCATTACTTAGTTACTTACTGTATTATTCTAGTATAAGGTACTTAAACAATGTGCTTCCAGAACTCTGGTGGAGATTGGGCTCAAAAATTTCGAATTTTACATCGAGCACTAAATATTTAGATTACTATGCTGGCTTCAAGCGATCTAACAAGAATCAATTGACGAAACAGTTTTCTTAACTAACCATCTACATTTAATTCACTTCATATTGTTTGTTTGAATCTTCCCATTGATGTTTTAGGACTGTAACTGGTCAGTCTCCAATTAGCATATGTGCATATTGTGCGTATTGCCTCGATATAGCCTAAATTCACAAGCATGTTAAGCAAAGATGGATAGTGGCTAGCAGTGGAATCCAGGACGCGCATTTAATCCTTTTCGGGATTCGTCAGCTGTATGTACCTGAATCTCAGATTTGTTGATGTTCACTCTGTGACTCGGACCCAATAACTTTTACTTCAAACGCCATCGCATTATCCACTCGACCACTGAGTCCTGATAGCCACTTGCTTGTGCAGTGGGGTGAAGTTGAAATTCATTTAGTATTGTTTGTTCGAATCTTCCTATACATTTAGCTATCGTATCAAGACAATTCGAAAATTCACTGATATATACCATATCACCATTAGTTAAGGTTTGCAATTTTATGCAGTTAACATTCAATACATAAGTTAATGGCCTTTTAAATGCTATGTACTCCTTGACCAAATGAATGGTGGTCTAACATCAAGCGCTTCATGTTCTCAATCAAAAACATAATAATCTCAACAACCCCATAACAGATGAATATCCATTGTATTCATTAGTTGGTTACAATTTCTATATTGATTAACATGACATTACAGAACAAGCAGTTTTGTTTGTGTAAAACCTATTGTAGCCCAATAGTTTGATGATGAAATAATTACTTGATTCTAGTCTCCACATAAATATCAATGAAAACACGTTTCTCTGTTTGACAAATTCAAGATAACTATAAAACATGACTCATGAATTTGATTAATAGGGATAAAGAATAACAGAAAATTTCATACCTTATGAACAATATTATGATATAGTTAAATATTCAACATCCGAAAAAAGATATCATTGTCCTTCTTCTTCATATTTCACAGTGAATAATACGATAGTCGTGCAGTATAGTACATTACAAAACAGTATAGTTGCTCATTTTCTTTTTATGTATAAGCAATATCCTTCTATATTTCTTAAAGACTAAGCATTTAAATGAAACAATCTTAGTCTTATACGGAAAGATGGATAGTGGCTAGTAGTGGAATGGAGGGCGCGCGTTTCGTCCTATTTGGGACTCGTCAGCCGAATGTACCTGTATCTCAGAGTTGATGTTCACTCGAGGACATTCCACTACTAGCCACTATCCATCTTTGCTTATAATGTTTGTGAATTAAGCCTATATGAAGGCAATACACACAATATGCACATATGCCAATTAGAAACTGACCAGTTACAGTCCTAAAACATCAATGGGAAGATTCAAACAAACAATACTAAGTGAATCTTAGTCTTAATCTATTTTTTGTTCATATGTCAATATAAATAATAATAATAAATCTTTTATTTTCTGTATCTACACCATACTACTTATATTTTAGATTTTACATTCAAATTATTTAAACCTGAAAAGAATAAAAATAAAGTGAAATCTGTTTTACTTATTGACAATATACCAGTTAATATCATTCCATATCATCAAATTAGAATAATTAGTCAATTAAGTGAAAGTAAGTCAACAAGTTGATGTATATTTTTTGTTGTTTGAAACATATAGATAGGGTTTATAAAGAATGATTTATATAAGAGTAACACAATAACAAGATTGTATTGACTGTGAATGTTATGTTCTCTAGTTGATTAACTCAGAATACGGTGGACAACTACGACATTCGAAGCCTAGAGTCACAAATTCAGAAGACAGAATAAAACTGGAGAAGTGTTTTGTTATGTAAGAATCAAAATGTACAAAAATTCATGGGTATTTATAGATATTATCGTTTTTTATAACATCATTATAATTCAGCCAATCCACAAGGGGACAGTTAATGCTACTGTCCAATCGTAGAATATCGCGTTGATATTCTAGAAAGCTTCATCACGTTCTGACTAGATGGAAACACTTCGGCTTCTTTAGGGCCTCTGAAGGCTCCGTCGTAATTCTCGGAAGCCGTCTCAACAATGAACACAACGACTAAGTTGGTTAACACAGTTACTGTATACTCTAATGATCTATATCTCAAGTAATATTCCCGAACTTTCTTATTTACTGATTGAAATACCAAGAAAATTAATTAAACATCTCGAACTAACTTGTATAGATGTCCAAACTTGAAATTTCATGCGTTTATATGTATACGATACAGAACTATTGCTCAACATAAATAACGAATCTCAATATTTACATAAGATATTTGTTCAATATTTCTTTGTAAATTATAAATAATGAAAGATATAACTACAGTTATTGAGTCACATGAAAGCTGTAAATAATAAGACACCATTAAATTTTGCAGCAGTCTACGGTAATTCGTATTTAGATTGATCAGACTCTTCTAATACAGAATTGGATCCACTCGACTTATTAAACGAATGACACAAAATACTTCAATGATAGTCGCCAAAGTATCAGAAGACGGATAGAAGTTGGAAGTTTAGGAGAAATCCAAATATTCAAGATGATAAATCCAAATTAGATTAACTATGTATATTTGGTGACAAACATGACTCTTGAACATAGAAAAAACTGAAAAACCTAAAGTGAAAGAAATTAATCCAATGACAGCAGTCGTCAGTGAGGAAATATAGATTATCAGAAATATTAGGTTTATCCTTGAAGGAATGAACTAACATTCACTAAAACTAGGTAACCAGAGATCCTTTTGGTAAATACTACAAAATAACTTTAATAAATACACATGAAGCAAGGGTATATACTGATTTCACAGAAAATGGCTTCCATGGTTTCACGTTTTTAAATATTCGACACCTCCTAACAGCATTACATAACTGTTTGGAATACTTTGGTAGTTCGAACTTACTATTATGTAGAGTAATGAACCGGAAAGACGTCATGTCAGAAGTGAGAAATTAAACTGTCAGTGCTACGAAATGTCAACGAACCATTGAAGGTGGGCGAATGTCAATCATCGAATTTCAATCAAGCAGAAAACGGCATAATCCTCACTACGATATCTGAATACTTCATATTTGATGATAGTCTGGAGTTTTGGACATTATTAGCTAGAAATTTGATATGATCTAAAGACATATTTGACTGAGACTTTCTTATTTCTACTTTTTCATCACTAAAAATCAGGTTTTGGGTAAAATTATCTGCAAATTAGAACAGATCTCTGAATACAACTTACAATTACGTATAATAATTAAATATCATGAACCGATGTAAGTTAGATAAATATTGGAAACATTGAAACACTTAACATCTGCTTCGTCTTAATAAGGGACTTCTCAGAAGTCTGAATCCAAGACCCTACTGCAGCGAATCAAATCCAGGACCTTCGGCGTTGCATACTAGTGCTCAACCTCTATATCACAGAGCCAGGAACCATCAGAGTGTGTTTATAACTTCAGACAATCCACGGCAGTGCGCAACTATTTTCATTTTTCTTCAGCGTATAAATACCTCACACTAGAAATTATTAAACTCTTCTGGTCACGTCTTCTCAATATAGTTCCCCAATTACTTCTTGAAATTTGCCATTAACATATTAGTTTTCAATACAAATGATTTTGTTAATCATTGGATGCTTTTTAAAACACTAATGTACCTACGTCAGATATCAGTTCACAACCAGGAAGCAGTAGACGGTTATTTCATTTATTCTAGACAATTACCTAGCGTTCAAGTGAATTCAAAAAGAATGATTAAAAGTTTAATGTATTTCATACATACAGCTCTTATTGAGCTCTCAGGATTATATATCCCTCAAAGATAAATGATTGTAAAGAGCTTGTATCTAGTCGTCCAGCTAGCTAACAACAGTCAAGAAGACAACATCCAGACGTTTGAGTGAAACTGATATTACTTTCATAATCCAGACTCTATAAATCAATGCAACAATGGAAAAAGTAAATACTAAACTATTCTGAAAAAACTTGACATCATTACTGAAGACGTTGGTAAATTACAATTGAAAAGTTTAGCCATATAAGTTGGAAAGTTTCAAATAAAAAATAGTAAGTCAATTTACAACTTCACCCTATTGCACATGCAAGTGGCTATCAGGATTCAATGGCTGAGTGGATAACACGATGGCATTTGAAGCAAAAGGTACTGGGCTTGAGTCCCAGAGTGAACATTAACTCTGAGATGCAGGTACATCTAGCTGACGAGTCCCAAATAGAATGAGACGCGCGTCCTGTATTCCACTGCTAGCCACTATCTATATTTGCTTACTAAACTATTCCGTTTATGACAAACTTATTTTCAGACTAAGATTAAGAATAATGATTATTAACTGAATAACAACCCATCTCATGTATCTTTGATCTATAATTTGAACCAAATTTTAATCGATCAACTACTACTTTCCTCATGGCATTCAGAAAGAACTGGATTACTTGAGATTTATTTAACCCCTTACTTTTTTAATAAAATCTTTATTACATAATCGAAGAGTATGTTTGTTTACTTTCTTTTCCTATTTTTCTTTCTGTAAGATAGATGTGGTTCAACTTATATGGCTAAACTTTTCAATTATAATTTACCAACTCCTTCAGTAATGATGACAAGTTTTTCCAGATCACATGATACTGGTACCATATATTCACTAAAGAATATTGGTCCAACTGATAATGATTCAAAAATCAATAACATTATGATCTCAAATATTTTACAAAATAAATGGAATCAAAATTTCCAAAAATCTCCCAATGATAACCATCCAATTTTAACATTAAAAAATAATAATGATCATTTATTAGTAATGAATGATTTCACTGAATTACATAATAATAAACTGATTACATCATCACATCCCGATATAAATAACTCTCATTATATATATGTATTTATACAAGATTTATCTCATTTGAAAAGATTACGTAATAGACAATATGATTACAAGAACCTATTCTCTAAAGTACCATGGATTCAAAGAAGACAATCATCATCAACATCCATTGAAGTTCATCGTAAAATTAAAAAATTCTTAGGTTTAAATGAAAAATTAATGAAATTCATTAAACAGTATACTCAATTTGATCATGTGAATATTGTCAAATTTTATGGTTTAAGTATCATAGAAATATCAAAGGCATATTCTTTATGTTCAATGATTACAGAATTTTGTATAAATGGATCAGTTGATATGTATTTGAAAAATGTAAGTTAGTATGGTTACTAGACTTAATGGGTACATTGAGTTGAATGGATTATCTGCATTATATAGATAGATAGATAGAATAGATAGATAACTAGATAGATAGATTGGATTAGATAGATCGATAGAGAGAAAGAGAGAGAGATTAGATAAGAAAGATAGGTAGATAGATAGCAAGTAGCTAGCTAGCTGGATAAATAGATAGATAGATAGATAGATCAGATAGATAGAGATAGGTAGATAGATTAGGTTAGATTAGATTAGATAGATAGATAAATAGATAGATTAGATAGTTAGATAGATAGATAGATTAGATAGTTAGATAGATTAGATAGATAGATAGATCGATAAATTTTAGTACCGAGTTTCAAAGAAATACAAGGCATGTCACCTTGTGGAATCTTAGCGCCGGCACTTGGATCTGAAAAATAAGCTGACATGAATGCCATACAGAGAGGGGACGGATGAGAATTTATGTTACGTCACCTCAAGGTAAATGGTGCAGATTAGACGTGTAATTGATCAAGTCTAGGACACTAGGTTACAGAAGAAATAGTAGACGAGTAATAAACAAAATTATTATAAAAGTTTAGATTGATAAATTTAGCACTTAACATCGATAAATGATCAAAAGTCAAAACATAATACATATTTTTTTCAATGGTATGATAATAATAAAAAAATTATGTGGATAGGAAACTTCATTGAAACCATGAATAAATCCCAACTCGGTGACTATTGAAAATCTGATGGAACTTGGCAGGTGTTTTGTCTCAGTGCGGGCTTCATCAATAGTGCGCATCCATGACCCCCTAAGTGACAATCGGTCTTGCATACGAACGCTTAACTTCTAGACCACCGAGCTGACATCCAACGGTGTCAATGTCCAACCTCAATAAATCTAGGACATTTGGTGAACAACTTCCATTTTCTTCGTTAGGTGCCTAGCATTCGACACTGTTTGGCTCGACTGGTCACTACTTCTCATTAGAACTGCAGACATTTCGTCACGACGCTTGCAATTAGTAAGTACATGATGAATGTCAGTATGGGGTTACGGAGATTGTTAGAATTCACTGAAATCACGAACCGACCCTAAGTTAGATAGCAATTGATAACCTGGAAACACAGGACAGCCGTTCATCCTAGTACTTCAAAAAAATTCAACAATCTTCATAACTCAATACTGACAGTAAAAAAGAAAGGATAAATATTCGAACCAAGAATGAGGTATGGTAGAGATAAACATAAAAGGTGTTTAGGAGGTAAAAGTTTATCCTAAATGTCTTGCGCATTGGATAACCTAGTCGCGATTGAGCTAAATGAGAAGCTAGATTTTATATTTTGAAAACGTAAATTACTTTCTCTGGAGCTGATCCTAATGGTCACAACCACATGGAAGAGATACAATCTTGCTAATTTGCGTAGATTGTCCTGAATGTGATATAAAACTGGACAAGCTTCTTCGATTTTAATGCCGTATTCAGAGTATCCTACATGAGAAATAATAGTACATGTTCAAATGTACAAGTAACGCATTTTGGACTTATTCAAGGTGTAACTTATGTAAACATTCGCGATTTTAATATATAGAATATGGTTTGCTTACTGAAATACTTCAGTCATTAACTTTAATCTATCATTGTAGACTTTATCAAGGTTACATTGAAGCTAGTATTAGAATGTGTAACACATGTTTCATTCTGTTTGAGACTCATCATCTGGATGCACATGTTCGTATTGTGATCCAAACCCGGTACCCTCCACTTAAACTACTAGAGAGTGACCTATTGAACTAACGAATCCAGATAGCAACTATACAGAAATATAATTGAAATCATCAGTCAATTGAAGCTAGACCACCATCGAAAACCTGGAAGCACTGAACGGCCGTTTCGTTCCATTATGAGACTCCTCAGCAGTGCTCATCCACGATCTCGCCTCACGAGATTCGAACCCAGGACCAAGATAAATATCCTGGAGTTTTAGTGAGAAGCAGTAACCAGTGGAGTTCAACCAGGTCTGTTGTGAGATAACAACTCACTGAAGACAATTGGTGATCCGTTGCTCAAACTTCGTGGATTGGTTGAAGTTAAACATTACCACCATTGGATCCCGGCTCAGTGGTCTATCGGTTGAGTGCTCTGGTGCGAGACTGGTAGGCTCTGGGTTCGAATCTCGCGAGGGAAACTAATAACAAATTGATTGGTAAAGGCTTAAATATTCATCATCAAGATAGATAGATAGAGAAATTATCATTGAGAAAGGATAGCTCAGCATAATAAGATGTAATTTGAACATTGAAATGAAATGTAATCGAGAGAACTATTCGATGAACCAATTTCTCTTATTTAATGCCTCGAGGGGGTGAGGGTATTCTGTTTACTAAAAACAATAAATATAATCTTTAAATTCAATTGGTATTATTTGTTTGAATCTTCGAGTCTCAGAGTGAAAATCAACTCTAGGACGCAGGTACATCTAGCTGGCAAGTCCCAAATAGGACGAAACGCGCGTCCTGGATTCCACTGCTAGCCACTATTCATCTTTGTTTATAATCTGTAAATATTTTATCTTTTTTTAAAAATTGTTTTCAGGTTTTACAAGGAAATCAACCAATTACATTAGATAATAATAACCATACTATTTCATTCAATTTATCTCAAGCAATCAAAATGCTTTTACAAATATTATCTGGATTAGAATATCTTACATTGAATTCATATACAGTTGAAGTAAGTTATTGTTTATAATTTGGGTTTTTCTATTTTAAACTATAACTTATGGTTAATAAATGTTTTATATTTGTTGAATTGTAACAATATTTTCAACATTATAAGCAAAGATAGATAGTGGCTAGCAGTGGAATTCAGGACGCGGGTTTCATCCCATTTGGGACTTGTCAGCTGGGTGTACCTCCATCTTAGAGTTGATGTTCACTGTGGGACTCGAATCCAGTAACTTTTGCTTGAAACGTCATCGGGTTATCCACTTAGCTACTGAGTCCTGATAACACTTTTAAACATTTTTAAGTAGAAAAGAAGCTGTAATTAACAAAATGGTCAATCCATGTCTAGTATTAAATGTAATAGTTTGGTGTTCAGTCCAATGAGTATGCGGAGAGAAGAGAGGGAATGTGTACTAGGATCTAAATAATAATACTTAGATTCTGTGCACGCTTATTAGGTGGTTGGATTAATATATATCATTCTGACAAGATGAATAATTCATCACAGTACCTAGATGAGACTTGCATCTTGTTGTGTAAGTTCGCTAATTTAAGTAGTCCATTTAGGTGTATTCACAATAGAACAATAGGTTTATGCTTTAAATATTATTATCGTCGAATCCATTAAAAAAAACTTGGCGCAAAACAATCTGCGAAAATACAATTTACGGACGAACCAATCAGATTTAGGATAAAAGGTCATCGATTTTGGCACAAAATTCATTCATCCATTTGGCTAAGAGCATTTTGGCATTTAAACTGATGTCAGCTCGTGATGAATACCCTAAATCTAATTCCTAACCCAAACCATCAATTTTAAATCATAATTCTAATTCTTGACACTGCTTTAGAACTCTCATTTAGTCCTAGTTAGTAGGTGGACATTCTCAAGATCACTTCACCATCGCTCGAATGTCGTCTATAAATTATAACCTCACCACAAAATCATCAGGTTTGGTTAAGAGCACTGTGAACTGACAAAAGATATGAAATGTCATTTTTTTTAAAAGTTATGCGAAAACACTCTTTTCCTTAGAATATATAAAAATATAACCAGACCAACATAAACTACTGACAATACAGTTGACGATATTGTTTAACGTTGTTTAACCAAAAATCAACAACAATATTGCTTAAAGTTAGACATTAACACCGTTGGATGCCGACTCAGTGGTCTAGAGGTTAAGGGCTCTGGCTCGAGGCTGGTAGGTCCTGGGTTCGAATCTCACGAGGCGGGATCGTGGGTGAGCACTACTGAGGAGTCCCACAATAGGGTGAAACGGCCATCCAGTGCTTCCAGGTTTTCCATGGTGGTCTAGATTTAATCAACTTATGATTTCAACTATGGAAATACTAAATTCTCCACAAAACCCCCTCTGATCAACAATAATATTCTCCCAAGAATGATAGTCCGTAATTTCTATTGTCAGTTCAATGTTCCATTTGAATACTGACTTAATATACTGTAGTGAAGGAGAACACATGTAAGGACAACAGATTATATCTTGCACCAAATTACAGAGTTATTTGGTAAAATAGTAAAAACATACTCCAATACTTCATTTAAAAAATGTTCATTAATTGTCTCAGACTTCATTGTTCCTACATTTTCATACCAATCGCTTTCTGTTCCAGTTCTGTTCACTTCGATCTTCTCAACCTTCTGCTACCAGACACATTCTATTCCTGACTATCGTTATATACTATGGTACGGTCTACTTATATCCGTCTAAGTAGTATATGGTGAGGGTCAGGCATAGAATGTACTTTGGCAAAAGATCGGTAAGGAAAGAACAGGAATGAAGCGCAATCGGTACGAAAATGCATGAACAATGAAATCAGAGAAGACGGATCGATATTTGCAGAAGGAACAGTTAAAATCAATAGAATTGATCGTTATTTTGCAAATTAACAGTTGACTGTATGGTTGTCAGAATTTAGTGAGATAGTCTGTAATTTGTGCTTAAATACATTCGATTGTCCCCACCCGTGTTATCGTTCACTACAATACTACTTATGCCAACATAAGTAGCACACAACGCAATACCATCCATAGATGATAAGATGTTCAGTTATCAAAGAAACTGACAACCTGTCAGTATTCGACGATTTATCCACAAAATTGTCTTTCAACTAACATTGTCTATTTTACTTACTTAATTTTTTTAGAATTTCACCAGTAAATCTGTATTTCTGGATGGATGTTTCAATTGCAAATTAAAGATTCAATTTAATTCAGTAGTATGTTCTAATAAACAATATCCTACAATTGACAATAACAAAATCAATGATGGTTTCTTTCAACCGTTATTAGTAAGCAAATATGTTTGTTTTCTATTTTTGTTCACTGTTAGATAAACGTCTTTTTTTATTTTGAGAACAAAATATTCGGTATTCCAATGAAAGAGTTTACATCACAGACTGATCATTATTAGATAGGTACTGAAAACTAGAGTATACGAAACGACCGCTTTCTCCTACCTTATTACGGTACTCCACAGTAATAAACAATCATAACCCTACAAGGAATCGTGATGAGAACATTTTGGTTTCGTAATGAGCGCTTAAACTTAAGATCATTGGTTCGTCATTTAATGGTTGACATGTTTTATATGACGATATTGTATAATTATTATTCATTTCAAGCGTGATATTTGTCTTACATCCGACAAGTCATTTATTCAGTTATGGATTGTAAATAAATTCCTTGAAACCTAATAGTCTTTGAAACTAAGGTCTCACTCATATCGTTATAGATTTGGGGATCTTAAACTGATTTATTGAGAAAACCAGTGAAGTATATATGATATTTACTATTTGTGTAAGCCCCTCAGAAGTTGGTCTAATTAAGATATAACCTAACCAAAATGAAAGAAACGTAATCCAGTTGCTGTTTGAATAATTCGTATAACTATTGACTAACATCACATGAGTTCATTTGAATGAAACGCATACTTAAAGACGTTTGGTTAAGGATTACCAATAGATGTCTTGATTGTTTAATGCTTATTACTTTTCTTGGTGGATTTTAGTTCTTTGAGCGGGATGGTTTGGTCGTGGAGTCTTCACTCTTCTTTCGAACAACATAATCAGCACAAAATTCAGGTGGAAATGAAGTATTTGAATTTCTCCATACACAGCTTGTTCTGTTGGTCTCGATCTTGATTGGTTATTGTCGACCTTTAATTCGTTATTATCTATCTCTTCATATGACCATCATCGGTTAAATTATCATTAGAAATCACAAGTTCTTCAACTTTAAGCTTTGATCTCATTGGTAACGAACACATTTCAAGTTGTAGAGGACACCATTTAGTATTTACAACTTTTAAGACTGCTACAACAACCTAACAACCAAGTTATCTTTTACATTTCCAACTAGATGATAAATGGTACATCTGTAAGGTGGTTAGAAGTTGTCTGCAGGAAACCCTGAACCTGGGTTCTCTATTGGCAGGTATTCGTCACCCAAGAATACTTTCAATCTTAACGAAACTGATGCTTCCTGAAGAGTTTGAACACGGTTTTACAATCTGAGACATTATAATTCAGTGATTTGAACAGCCACTGACCTTCTGCAGAACTTATATATTCACGCTTATTGATCACTAAATAATCATCGATGTCATATTCATCTAATGCCTAGTGTCGGTAGAAGTTTCAAAGTTTACAGTGTTCATCAGTGCTATCAAAATTACAGGTATGTCTTGATAGTAAATGCCAACTAACATGAAGCCTGGGTCCTGAGTTTCCTGCTTCGACTGTCTCTAACATCTCGGTGTAGTGCACCCGATGCTAAGTTCCTTGAAATAGTAGCCACATCACAACGTGATTAGTAGAATTCTACCACTAATTAAAAAAATCAATTCATTATCACTTTAGCCATCAATCAGGGATCAATCAATGTAGGCATATCTCCATTTGCAAAACAGACATGAAAATGTAGAATTTTGAGTTGAATTATGTTTTGTATCCTAGATATCGATGAAACCTGAGACTAGTATTACTCTTAGTTAGGAACCCTTTAGCTCAATACACCGTTATTCTAGTTTAAATGTTCATAATAAAATTTAAATTCAGTACATACTGTTTCAATCTTCAGTGAGTTATCTATGAGGTTATTATAGTCTATATATAATGATTATCAAAATTTTAGTCTACTTAATGTGGAGGTGACGATTCGATCATTAATACCGTTTGCCAATATGTACTGATCTAAAAACAGTCTTGAGTATGAATATGATGGAGGACATAACTACTTATATTGTAGGAAACAAGAAGACGAGTGTGGACAATCGAATATCTCAGTAAAATCTGACATCTATATATGTTGTATCCCGTGGGAAATTATGAATGGTAACTTTGAGAACTATTTATGGACTAATATGACACGTATATTTCATATTGTATGATGGTTAAGTAACTAAACTATTCATATTCGTGTTCCTCTTATTATAAGCTTTATTTTGATCTATGAGCTATTACTATACAATTTACCATTCTTGAGTTATCCATAGTCTATTAATTACTGTTCCCCCTATTCATAGCTACATTGGGCTAAATCTTGTACAAATGTTATTTTCTATTTTATTGGTACAATGTGGTCAGTTTGTTTGGTATATAAACCCAGTATATTTGAGAATAATGATTCATATTGTTATTGGTGTTCTGGACTTAACTTGCTGGGCTAGGCAGAAAGCTGGACTGATAAGTACTTAAGACCGCTCATACGGATATTGTGAATCGTTGGACGATCAATAATCTCACTTCTCTCTTATTGGCGGAGGTTATCACGTTCATATAATAACAGAGCACTTAAACAATCGATATAACAATACAGTAAACAGTTAATTCGCAAACTATCAATCAATTGTCTCATTCTTGACCATTCCTTCTGCAAATATCAGTCCATAGTCACCGATCATCACTGTTCATGCATTTTCATACAGAATGCGTTCTCTTTCCATTCTCTCCTTATCGATCTTCTAGTGAAATACATTCTCTGCCTGACCATCGTTATATACTACTTATGAGGATGTAAACAACCTATACCACAATACCATATTGACTCATGAAAGTTATACCTTGTTTACTAAACCTTCTCTTACTTTCCATTCTTTGTAGCTAAATAATGAATTTACCAACGATTGCCTTCATTCAATAATCAAAAAAGATACTAAAAGATTAGATAAATATGATATTCATCAATCATTCATAATGAATCCTTCTTATAATAATAATAACGTACAACAATCATTTAGTTGTATGAATAATGATAATCTTTATGAAATGTATCAAATAATTATTACCAAGGTAATATCACTCAATGAACATACTAAGGGTATAGATAATGAAATAGAAAATTTGAATCAATCATCAACATCTATACTACTAACAACCAATTGTTATTTAAGTAATATATATTCATTTAGTCAATTAATAATTGAATTAATTATAGCACAATTAATGTTAGAAAATAAACATAAATTTATTGATATTATTCAATTATTCAATAAAAATCATAATGGTCATTGTTATCAGAATATGAATCTATTAGATAGGAATTCTATTTCAACTTGGAATTTAAACTCTTCATCAGTAGATAAGTTTTCTAGTTCGAGTACATCATATGCATATCCAACTTTTATTGTACATAATCTTTTACAATTAACAGAATCACCACCACCACAACAACAACAACCACAACCACAACATGAACACCTAGATACTAGTGATGATAAGTATAAAGATATGAAACATTCATTGATTTCATCGGATAATACTACTGAATGTCAAACACTTCCAACAATGAAGCAACCATCTAATCATTCATGTCATAGTTTAACCAATAGTCCTAATCCTAATACAACACTTCCAATGGTTAATCCACATGTAATACATTCCAATAATTTAATAAATGATAATGAACTATTACAATTATTGAATCAACTTATAATGAATCAACCAATTTATCATTTAACACAAAATTTATATTTGAATTATTTATGTAAATTTATCCACTACTTAATACCATATAGTAGATTAGATGAATTACTTATTCAATGTAGATATCCTTCTATATCAATGAATGGATTATCATTTAAAGATATAAGAAAACAATTAAAATTAGCAGCTAATATGGTGTCATTCATGACATGTAATATGAATAAATCTATTGTAAATAATCATCATATACATGAAAGTTTAATTGATTTAAATGAAAAGTAAGTTTGTATTCTTTGATTATATCAATGAAATTGGGTGATACATTCATCATTGTCTTCAGTGAATTACTATCATACGATAGACCCGGTTGAACTCCATGAGTTACTACTTCTCAATTAAAACTCTAGGAAATACCTATTAAAGGTGAGACGGGTTAGTTGGACACACACTGATGAAGAGTTACACAATAGGATGAAACAGCTGTACACTGCTTCCAGGTTTTCCATGGTGATCTAATTTTAATTGAATCATGGTATTAACAATTAAAATTACTGAATTATTTACAAAAACCCCTTCTAATTTTATTCAACATACTCTCACTAGTGAATGGCTTCTTTCTTGGAGTTCTAGCGACAAGCGGTAACCTGTGGAGTTCTACCAGGTCTGTTGTGAGATAGTAACTTACTAAAGACATTGGTGGATGTGTCGCTCATCTTCGCAGATTAGTTGAAGTTAGATATTAACATCGTTCGATGCTGACTCAGTGGTCTAGTGGTTAAACATTCACGATCGAGACCGTTATATTCTGAGCTCGAATCTCGCGAGACATGATCGTAGATGCACACTGCGAGAAAGTCCCACAATAGGATGAAAAGGACGTCCAGTGCTTCCACGTTTTCCATGGAGGTCTAGTTTCAATTGACTCATGATCTCAACTAATAAAATTACTGTGATATCCACAAAAAACCCCTTTGTTTACATATTTTTGAATTATCAGAAAGTAGTACTATGATAATGTCATTAAAAATCAATATGCTTTTTGTCATAAATAGAAATCATTTAGAAAATTAAGATAAGTAAAGAACCACCTAACGGACTGTTCAAAATAACAATGATGAATATTCACAGTTCCAAGACCTTTAGACGTTTTGTTAAGTTCAATAAACTTGCATGACATCGGGACCTTGTTGCCATATATTTTCAATGATAATTCAGCTGAACCCTTTTTAAATGCCGTTAATGATATTATTCTCACTCTTGACATGTTTAAACATTCCAATTGTTCAATAGAGATTTGCAGAGAACTTTTAAAACTAGTGAGCTAAGGATGTTCATGCAGACGTAGGGAGAGCATAAAAATATTTTTTTCTATGTCGTTTTTACCACAATCACTGCAGTCGATTTTTCAAATGACATTTGATTCGTTTCCGTTTATCTTTTTTTTCTTTGTCCTGATTATTATTTACTCTAAAGATTTTATAGGTTTCAGAGCTAAATCTAGTCCTAGTGGCCTTAGCAATTTGTCTGCGATCTTGCAGATCGTTTTCATGTACGGCAAAACTATCGACTTGCTGATTTTCTTTGTTGATTATATATTTGATGGTAGTTTTAATAAATAATTATTGGTGTAATCCTCTGACTATACTTCTAATATGAACTTTATAACATCTAATACGTTAGATGATCAGACTATAAATCTTCTCTAGCTGGTTCTTTTTGATGTTGACAAATGTGTCATATACCAAGCAAATGCAAATGTTTGGTTTAGTCACTGATAAAGCTGAAGATTTTACTCGCTACATTACTGCTCATTTTGTTTGTTTGTATACTTTGCTGTTGAACTGGTAATAAGTTGTTACATATAGGTCGATGAGGTAAGTTAAACGACGCGAACTCTCAAAACATATCAAACTTCATACTGATAACTATCATTCACTTACTGAGGACTAGAACCGAGGGTTAATAAAAGGAGTTCTAGCGAGAAGCCATAACCAGTAAATTAGAGACTGAGGCTGTTGTTCATTAAAGATAGTGAGAAATATTTGCGGAATATCATAAATTGATGACAGTTAGGCATATACATCAATGGTTTCAGGCCTAGTGGTCTAGTGCTGAAGTGTTTATTTACAAGACGAAAGATACTAGGTTCTATTTCCTCTAGTGTGCCTATTAATACACACTTCTAAGAAATCCCAAAATACGACGAAACATTTGACCAGTGCTTCTAAGTTTTCATTACATACTAAAATTAGATCGATACGTTGTCTCAATAACATTCAACATACATCACAATCTCCATACTATTATGACAATCATCATTTCACTTCTAAACAATTAGAAGTGATTTAATGAATTCATGACTTTCATTATTATAATTTCATATCATATTTCTCTTAACATTTTGGTTTATATTTTAGTCAAGATGTAACGAAAATAGATTCATCTTAATAATTAAATCTGAAGAGCTGAGATTGAAATACAACTAATAGATTACAAGTCCATGGAACTATTCATAAAAAGGCATTCTACACAAATTCCTGTATTACATTTCATACAATGTAAATATACTTTAGTTTCAATGATTAAAACAATCAAAGATTCTATTAATGATCATTTCTATGTAAATTTATTCATTAATTCAATTGTACAAATACAAAAAGTAATTTGGACATTGATTATATAGAAAGTATTGTACAATGAGAAGTAAAAAAAAAATCGATATAATAATAATAATTACCTTGGTGATAATTCAAGCTAATTTTTTTTTGTACAAATACATTTTTTCTTCTTTGCAAATTGTTCTTTTCTTTTTTTCTCTTTTTAGTAGTTACGTCTTGATCAATACATGGATAGGTAGGTTATAGGGATGAAAGACAGTTGAACATTATGATGGTATTATTGTCGCTTAGGAAAAAAGGTAACAAAAGAATAAAAGTAATGAAAACAAACCGTCCAGTGCTTCCAGGTTTTCGATAATGGTCTAGCTTCAATTGACTCATGATTTCAACTTTGAAAAATACTGAAATCTCCACAAATCCCCTTCTAAAAACAAACTATTGTTGAAATAAATTCACTTGGTATTGTTTAGTTGAATCTTCCCATTGATGTTTAGCATTGTAACTGGTCAGTTTTCACTGAGTAACAATCATGTTTAAAGTTTTTTAATTGTTTACTGGTCTTAACAACGATTGAATACTATTTATTCCAACCTATGATATATATTGCTTGGAATATCATTAGAATTGAGAGGAAATCGACTGAATTTTATAAAGCTGAGATCATGAGTCAATCAAAGCTAGACCACCAGGGAAATCCAGGAAACACTTGACGACCGTTTTGTCCTATTATAGGACTCCCCAGCACTGTTCATCCACAAACCCGCCTAGCGAGATTCCAATTCAGGACCTATCAGTCTCGCGCGTGAACGCTTAACATCTACACCACTAAGTCAGCATCCAGCGGTGTTAATGTCCAACTTTAACCAATTCACGAAATCGAGCAACCATTCACCATTATCTTTAAAGAGTTACTATTTCACAACAGACCTAGTTAAATATCACTGGTCAGTGCATCTCACAAGAACTCCAGAAAATACCTCTTGAAGCTTCAACTGACTCATGATCTCAACGATATAAAACTACTAAAATCTCCACAAAATCACCTTTTGATACTGAATTTGTAATTGTTGGTTAAATAAAAAATTTTTTTAACAAAAGCACTTGACACGAGATTTTACAGTTCGGAAAATGATCTTTGACAGAATTGAAGATTTGCACCGTGGAAGAATTCGATTCTAATATCCTTAATTTGCATTATGGGATTTAGACTGATTTCATATCTTGACAATAGTTTATTCACACCAAAAACTTTATCAAATTATTATTATCACTGTCAACATTAATTTAATATTATACTTTGTATTTAGTATTCTTTTCTTTAAGTTGTTATTATAAGGATTTCTGAAGATTATTGAATTTCCATTACCATATCAAGGTTTATTCATAGATAGATAACCATCGAAAACTAGAAAGCAATGAACACTTGTTTTTGTTTCCTACTATGGGAAGATGAGACGAATGAAAAACCTTCGAGTTACACTATAAGCGTTTGAAGTTTATACCATCAAGTCATTATCCAATAACTTACATGTACGAATTCAATCCATTTTCAACATTGCAATTCCATAATCGATTATTGTAGATGATATGTGTATCACATAAGATGAAAATTCATTTTATCTACAATAATATATATATGTTCTTTATATCACAGTGTGTTCTTCATATTTTGTCCCTATGTAATTTTGAATTCTTACATGATAATGAAAACAAACTTTTGAATCAACATCTTTTTCATCGTCAGAAGGGATTTTGTGAAGATTTTAGTAATTTTTTAAAAAGTTGAGATCATGAGTCGATTGAACCTTCAAGAGGTAGTTTCTGCAGTTCCAGTGAAATGCACTAACCAGTGATATTTAACTAGGTCTGTTGTGAAATAGTAACTCTTTAAAGATAATGGTGAATGGTTGCTCGATTTCGTGAATTGGTTAAAGTTGGACATTAACACTGCTGGATGCTGACTTAGTGGTGTAGAGGTTAGGCGTTCACGCGCGAGATTGACAGGTCCTGTGTTTGAATCGTGGATGCGTACTGTCAAGGAGGAGTCCCACAGTAGGACGAAATGCTTGTCCAGTGCTTACAGTTTTTCCATGATGATCTAGCTTCAATTGACTCATGATCTTTTTCATCAGTTAACTATATTAATTTGTATGTGACATTCATGAAACGTCTTTTATCAAACGACCTTTTGTTTAATTAAAAGAAAAAAATATGTATTTTGTATGTATAAGATTTAAAGCTAATGAAATGGATAGAGTTTTAACTTGATTCGTTATATTTTTATGCTTCAAAATCATAACTGATAAATATTTGCTTATACTCAAAGATGTTTAAATTAACCATCTTAGTATAAGAAAAAAAGATAAGATTTGAATTGAAAGAAAAACATACCAAGAACCAAGATACATTGGACGTATGATTTCCTCTAGTATGGGATTCGACAGTGGTTAATATCTATGAACCGACCTAGAATCGATATTCAGATCTTTGATGATTATATGTGATGTGTTTAAGGTGATAATAATAAAATTACATTGAGTTCAAGTAGAACGAAGATCTCAAGTAGCATTGAAATAGTGACTACATAAGATGATACCGCCTACAAGAATCTGTAGAATACATCCACCTAAACAGCCGTTCTTAGCATTTCAACCTTGAAGTAATTTGTATATGAGGAGAGACGGATCAAAATCTTTGTTTTTTTCAGTTCAAAAGTCATGGTTTACGTTAAAACAATGATGAGTATCATAACTGAAACAAGTAAATTTAAAAATCTCATAGCCTTATGAATTCATGAACAAAATTTATTTCTCTTAAACAAATAAAACAACTTCGTATGGTGGAAAATCATAAATTAGGCGCCTGCCATATTTATTTCTTGAGGATCGTGAAGCCTACAATGATGACTGGTTAGAAATCAGGATTGTTTAATCTTTGGCCAGAACTTTTATATCTACCAGGGTAATTTAAAATCTAGGTGTTGAATCTTACTATTGATGGAATTATCGTAATTATTTAAAGACAATACTTTGAACTTCCCTGAAAAGTGTTATTGAACCACTTCCGTATGAAAATATTGAACTGAGGATTCTTAAATAATGTTATTTTGGGAAGATAATATTCTCCGATATAAAACTTTCTCACTCTGATTCATTAACTCAGTCTACTTTATTAAATATAATGATCATTGAAATCGTGAACCGATCTAATTTAAACCTCCATTAGAAACCTAGTAGCACCAGACGGCCGTTTCGATCAGGGATGGAATTCCTCAGCAATGTGCATCAACGATCCACCATGTGTGACTCAAAACCAGGACTTTCGGTCTTGCATGCCAACGTTTAACATATTGATTACTGGGCCAGGATCTAATAGTGTTAATGTCTAACCCACCAAAGACATTGGAAGATGGTCTCGCAAAGTCTTGGATTGATTGAAGTTGAGTATTAACATCACTCGCTTTTGACTCAGTGGTCTGGAGTTTAAGCATTCGCACGAAACTGAAGTTCCTAGATTTTAGTGTCGCATACGGAATCGTGGATGTGCATTACTGACGAGTAACATACTTATAAGAAAAGGTTTTCAGTGGTGGTCTAATTCAGATTGTCTAATGATTCAATGAAGCTCAAAAATCTCCACACCCCAAATTGAGAAATATCATAGTCTGTGAACAAAACATAATAAACAAATATGTGTACAATAGCTGACATCAGCTAATAACTTGATGAAAAATTTATTTTGCTGTTAGTGAACATAAAATATGTATGACGGGAGGTCGGACCAAAACCTTAAAGTCTGGACCCTGAACGTTAAAATAACATGTGACATCAGTCGTCCTTACATAGCCTTAACAGCCTTTTCACCATATTTTGTTTTTTTTCACCTTTTATTATCATATTTCCATCACTTTTGTATCGTACTTCCTAAACCATGATCAGTTATCATGGCCGCCTTACAATGTTTCAGAATTACTAACCAACCCTTATTTTCACCAATACGTTTTTCATTGCTTCTTTATATCCTTCAAATGAACAATTAATTACCTCTAAACATTTAGACTAGCAAGTTATTTTCATCTTCTCATTCTTTGTTAACCTTCAGACCACTATACAATTTTCTTTGGATACATGAAATCACTGAACACTTTATGATGTAAGTTCTTTCAATTTTTCTTCAGACTCATTTTTAAAAAAAGATTTCTTGGAAGCGATATCACCGTACGAAACACGACAAAATAAATCGTTAAATCTCTGAGAAAAACTTTGTACTCAGCAAAGCTTCGTATTTCCTTCTCCAGTAAGACTATTATTCATAATTGTGTTGGGTATAACTTCTTTTTCAACCACACCGATGTACAGCTTGACGTTAACATGCTTTCAAGAGGCAGGTTGCATTAGCCTCACAAAGTAAACACCACCCGAATTAGCTTCTAAAAAGCGATTTAAAAACGATGAAAGAAAATCTCATCAATCGTAGGCACGTTAACCTTCCAGATTCACATTTTGGAATACTCTAGAGAGTCAAATAAGTGAGATCAAAGGGAGGATGGATCAAAAACTTAAGGCCTGGATGTTTTTCATTACTTCTTTATATCCGTCAAGTGAGCGATTATCTCTAAACATTTTGACTAGCAAGTTATTTTCATCATCCCATTCTTTGTTAACCTTCAGACTACTATACAATTTTCTTTTGATACATTAAATCACTGAACACTTTATGGTATAAGTTCTTTCAACTTCCCTTTAGACTCATATATTTATTTAAGCATAATAGATAAGATTATAAAGCTTTAGAGTAAATGATTTCGTCATGAAAGTAAAAGCTTCTTCAGTATATTCCAAACTTTATCTAAAAATACAAAATCTTCTTCACTTATGACTTAATTTTTATTATATATCAAATAAGAAAGAATGATAGTAATCTATTCATTTATTTAACTCCTATCTATTACGTCTTACATGATGAACTAATTCAATTTTACCATGCATTCATCCCTATAAATTAAGAAACTCAGAACATAAATGGTGGGACAGTTCCGTAAAGAAAACCAACACAAAGAGAAACCTTTTTATTGCTTAAGCAAATAGTTTTTTTTTCTCTTAGCATGTGTAGTTTTCTCAAATAGTTCAGATATTTATCCAACAAAAATTATTTTGACCGTAATTGATTTCTTTTTTTCATCGATAGAATCATTAAGATGTTAGATGGTTGTTAGATGATAGTCAAGGCAAGTAACCTAAGACTTAAATTTTGTGTTTATTAGCATTTATCAGTGAGGTGTACCAGCAATCACGATGAGATTTTTTATCAAGGGGGGATTTAAATAAGCACCATTCAAGTTCACAATATGAA